ATGAACTAGTTCATTACTATAAGAGTTCCAGCTCAGAAGTAAAACTAGTAAGCATGCGACTGACAGGTTCTCTGTCTTCGGCCAGAGGGAGATTCAGTCGGGGTTCTGTCTATGGACAGAAACTCTGCTAAGAAAAACAGACAAGAAATGTACCCGAGCCCGCACTCGCTTAGGTAAATTTTGACAATAGCCCGGATGGAAACGCTAAGGTTCACTACAATAACCTCGACCTTGTGTCATATCTCATTTCAGTGGGTCGGGGGACTGGGTAAATACCTGACGTTTGGAATCAGGCAGTTTGTTACCTGGCTTGCAACTGACAAGATCACTGTCTATTGTTACAGACTCGGCTGAGAAAAAAACATAATTATCCGTTCCCCGCAGTTTTAGGTCATGGGTAAATTTTGGACCTGTTGCCCGATTGTTCGCGCTCGGCTTTCCCGCGTTAAACATGATCTTGTGTAGCATCCCGTGTAAGTGTTGACTTCTGGGCAAACACCTAGCCGTTCGGAGTCAGGCCGTCCGCTGCTTGGCTCCGAGTGTCAAGCTCTATCTCTTCGGGCAGAGGGAGGTTCTGTCTATGGACGGAGACTCGGCTAAGAAAAACAGACAAGGAATGTACCCTAGCCTGTTTTTGCTGGGGCTGGGTAAATTTTGATAAATAGTTGGGGTGGGATCGCTCGAGTTCCCCAGAGTAATCTCGACCTTGTGTCATATCTCATCTCAGTGAGCGGACTGGTGTCAAGCGTTTGGTATCCGTCTTCAGACTAACTATACAGGCGTCACGACAAGTAGCTGAAGCATTGTATAGATAATTCTTATACAAAGTACGTTATATAAAATAAGAGTGTATTATTATAACAATAACTATATAATAGTGGCATCATAATAGTGCGACGAGGGATTCAAAACTCAGACCCTAATCGTAACAGTTGTGTCGAGGATTCGGAACTTTTACGACCGTTGTAATGAAGATTTTGGAGGCTCATACGAATTGTAACTGGAGTTACAAGAATTTCAACTACGTTGGTTTATTCTTGCGAATATAGAGAAAAAATTGGCTTCCATAGGTGAAATTTAGCAGCAACAACATAAACAGCGACAACAATAGAATCAACAGTCGCTAGATCTACAAAAAACAAAAAAAAAACAACAAAAAGTATGTATGAGACATTGGAGCTGTTGGATATAATTCTGAAGAAAACAAAAAAAATTCTTCAACGTCTCTTACACCAGACGCCGTCCAAAACACCATATCAGAATTTGTATACAATCCTGATGAGAGATTGACTTTTTCTCTGTATTTTCGTAGATATGAACAAATGTTCAAGGATGCAGCGGCTGGGAAGGTGTGGCAAAAACGAGATTGTTATTGAGGAAAATAGCTCCGATAGAGTATGAATAATACTGCAACTATATATTACCGAGAAAACCAGATAAAATTGGATTTGAAGACATGGTGCACATTCTGACAAAAATCTTTCGGGACAAGAACTCTTTGTTGTAAGCGCATAAATCTAACCAAAAAAGAAGATTTTGTTACGTATGCTGATATCATCAACAAATTATACAAAAAGTTTAGAATAAAGAAAATGTCACCAAATATGTTTAATGTTTTAATTTTCGTGTAAGGTTTAACAGCCAAAATATGCTGATATACGAGCGAAAACTTTAAAAATTGAACAAAGCTATAATATTACACTGCAAGAAATTCTTAGATGATTGCCAAATAAAGCTAAATCTGAAATATGATGCTGATGAAATCCAGAAAAAAAGAATGTGTATTGCTACAAGCAAAGGACAAATTTACAAAAAGGAGAATAAATCCTTGTTTCATATATGGTGAATTACATCCTTGAAAAAACTGTCCATTTTATAAAGTAGAATGTTACAACTGTGGTAAAAGATATCATATAAAGTTACACTGCAAAACAGGAAGAAATCACAGCATAGCAACAGAAAAATGGACACAGAAAACAAAAGGAAATTTGTGAACGTGAAAATAAATAATGTAGGTTTGAAAATGCTACTGAACATTGGTAATGATATTTCAATAATCAGTGAAATCATATGGAAAGTAATTGGAAAGCCTTTATTAAAACGAACTTCCAAAGTTGCGATTTCAGATGCTGGTGAGAAATTATTCATTTATTTATTTATTTTATTTATTTATTTTTTTTAGTAAAAACTTGCAATATCTCTTTTCATAGTAAGCATAAAAAACTAAAGCTCATGCTACTTCTTCCAAAAATAAATTTATGGAACTATTTGAACTTTGAGACTTACTGATAAAAGTTTATTGTTAAAACGTAAGTGGACAAGCAGCCAATTTAAAAGGTCAGAGCGAAATCTTAAGGAAAAATTGAAAGATGTTTTCCAGATGTTCTGTCAAATAAATCGCGTCGGTGTCCAATATTCAAGGTGGGTTTTCAAGTAAAAAAAAGGTTCGACGCTAATATTTAAGACGAAACGGAGCGTACCATCCGCAGTATTAGAACAA